TCGAACGAGATATAACTTATTGAGGTAGGATTTCTAAAACTACATGAAATGACGATTAAAAACAGTATATAGATACTTTTATAATAAATTTTATTTATTTAATATCATTAATTATAATTATGTGGGTAGATCAGGAAATAATACACATTCTTCTGCGTTTCTAATATCAAAATTAGTTAATGTCTGATAATCTTCATCTTCAAGATCGTTTTCAGTGGATAGTGTAGAATCACTTGCAATTTCAGCATTACTGTGATATGAAGTATACATGGAGGAGTTGAACCGAGATAACATATCTTCACTAGGAGTAAACATTTGGCAACACATTTTAGTAACCTGCGAATGAGATATAAAATTACTTTGCGCACAATAGAGACAATATTAGACATAAAAATAAATATTTAAATATTAGGTTGGTTTCACAATAGACTATCGGGAATCTGAAGAGTTAACTAATCACAATTTAATTTAGAAAAGAATAATCGAATTTTACCTTCAGATGGACGCGCAAATGCAAAAGTGCATCCAACATCTGCATCTGCATCCCATTGCGCTGCTTAGCCTTAATTGCTGCCATAAAACTGAAGATTCGCTCAACGACCGCGTTGCTTATAGGCAGTGTCAAACATTTCAGGGCAAAAAGGGCAAGATCTTTGAAAGGATAGATTCCTCCCGCGTTCTTCAATAATAGCACGCAACTCCAGAAGTGCACTATGTCTATCTCTCGTAATTCACTATTATGATCAGGATGAGGACATATATCAGACAATGTCAAAGAGTTGAGAGAACGCCATTGATTCTCCAAAAGATCTAGGTCTGCGCCAGAATCTGTATCAAAGATTTAACATTAAACATTTACATAAAACAAGGAATAAGAAGAATCGTTTATAACATTCTAGATTGATTATTTACCGAGTAAATCAAGCGGAAGCTGCTCAAATAAAGGTCTGGCAACTCTTTCAAGAACAATGCGTGGCGTCAAAGTTTTTATTTTCTCAATTACTTCTATGTTGGAAGGGAGTCTTTGATAGCTACCTACGTAGAAATGTTAAAACGACCCAACGTTGCGCCTGCACCGGTTGCCGATGTGGCGGTACTGGCGTAGTACTGGCCGCCAGTATTGTGCCAGTGCAGATTTAACACTGGAGTGTAACCCCATGCCAGTACTGGTTCAAAATTGGCAAGAACAGATGGGCCAGTATTGGGTATACAATTGGCTCAGCATTGGATATGAAACTGGTCTAGTATTGGGTATACAATTGGCCCAGCATTGGATATGAAACTGGTCCAGTATTGGGTATATAACTGGCCCAGAGTATTGCGCGCTTAAAAGCCTTTCACCGACCGCAACTTAATTCGGGCGTTTTTGCAACACGCGCGCGGGAGTCGGAGGTTCGGTAATTAAAATTAAACATTTAAACATTTAAACATTTTTATTTTCTTTAAAATATACTTGATGTACATTGATACCAGTGCAGAATTGCACCGGGAAATGAAATAATAAAAGTCACAATTAACAGATGTTGATCTAAATTTGATCAGGAATATATTCAGAAGAATAATGAAGTAAAAAAAAAAGAAAACTCAAATTAATGCTTTATTGATAAATTCTGTTTTTTCTACCACCATCTCTGTCCGGAGCTCCGGAGAACCAACGACTTGTTTTTGACAGAATTTCTTTTTCACAACTATTCGGGAATAGTTGTTTTAATGTATCTGATAAAAAATGAGTGGTTTTAAAACTATATATACAAATGCATTTCACATCTCTTGTGTTATTTTAAAATCGTATAATTATAATAAAATGCATATACCTTTCATTATTTTATACGTGTTTGTTTCCGCAAAACTGTCTTTCTTTCTATTATGATTTTGCCGTCCACAACCACTATATTTTAATTGCACTGCTTTTGATAGAATCCGAGGGAGAATTCGTTTTATTGAATCTGATATATCTTTACTCCCTCCTATTATTAGAGATATATAATCTTTCTGAAAAATGATATAATCTTGTATAATGAATGTTGTGTAAATTGATATTCATATTTCAAAATTTTCAAAATTGTCAGTGTAATATTCTGTAATATTGTGAAAAGTACCATTATTATATTTAACTCTTCATCTTGTAATCGTTCGTCAAAGGCTAGAAATGCTTCTTGTGTGTCAAAAGGTTTATCAAAATCTAGTTTTTTTTGTAAGTCCGTTTCACTCTGTCCTGTTAAGGAACGTGCTGTCATTTTTGATTTTATTTCATCATATCCTCTTCGAACACTGTATAAAATACTATTCTTTGCGCTTTGTATTTCTTTTTTTATAATTTTTTCCACTTTGTCAATTATGTATTTCTTTTGTTCATTAAATAATCGGTTCAAATCAGTAGTGCCTAAATAATAATGTTATGACTCGATATATTTTTATATATATTAAAATTGATCTATCATTAGGAAAAAGAATACAAAAAAAGTGCACAAATCGGAAATTTGTTTATTGCTTTCTCAATATTTGAAAAAATTATTTAAAAAATTTTTGATATTAATATCAATAATTTATTAACTAAATTAATATCAATAAAAGCAATAGAAGTTTCAGCGCGGTAGTTAAGCGCAATAGATTTATTATATATTTCTCATTTATGAAATATATATATGTATATTATAATATATGTATATATATATATATATATATATATATATATATATATATTATAATCAATATATATCAAAATTACAATGTTAATAGATGTAATCGGGAATGTTTAGGCCAATTTCTGGTCAAATATTAGTATCTGTTTCATTTTTTAAATTTTGGATTCCTTATAGAGATTCCTTTTGTGAGCTATATGGTATATTTCGATTATTTAACTTACGCCTAACTATACCGCGCTGAAACTTCTATTTCTTTTATTGATATTAAGTTAATTTAATTTATATCACAGAAGTTACTATTTATAAAAAATTATATATTTTTTAAAGTATAATATACCGTTATTATCGTTATTATCGTTATTATTATCAGAAGAGTGTGTAGAACAGTCGTGTTCTATATTATCTTCGTTGCAACTTAATGTGTCAAACCTATTATGTTGCGTGTAATCTTCTATGTAAAAGATAAAATAATAATTATATATTAATAACATACAATTTAAAATAAATTTTGAAATACATGTCACTATCTTGGAAGAAAATCGACAGAACTCAAAAGATACAAGTTTGGAGAAAATGCCTTTTAAAAATTTAATGAAATTTTAATTACTGAAAATTACTGATGTTCAAAAAATTACAATCAATCTTTTTTTATCCTGTTATGACTATTATTGTAAAAAAGAAATTGTACTATTAACTACGTACTATTAAAACGTGGAATGCTATTTAAGTCGTCTTCAGTATTTGGCAATGATTCAGAATTTGAAGTGCAAGTACGTTTTTGGGGGGGCTCTTCACATACATTTTCAAAATTTTCTTCTGAATTATTACATTCAAAGTCACTATTGCTGCTACTTTGTAAATATAAATTTTTCTCGTATCTTGAGATTCTGCGCTCACCTTCGGCAAAGCTACCTGATGCAAAACATTTGAAACTATGTAATCAGCTTGATAAAATTAATATTAATAAAAATATTATTAAAAAATAAAATATAAATAAAAATAAAAATAAAATATTAGAAATATTATTAATAAATAAAAATAAAATATTAAAAATATTAATATTAACCCTTAAAGTGCACACGTGGGTCTTTCGTGTCTGACTAAGTCTGACTCCAGTTATCCATGTGTTCATGATTACGGTGCCAAAAAAACGTGTGCACTTTAAGGGTTAAATTAATAAAAATGTTTATAATACTTACGAGCAAATTTTATTATTTCTATTGCAGTTTTTTCCCATTTTAAACTAGGCTGTTTAGATTTCTTTGACCATTGTCTAACCATATTTTTTTGTGTTTTGGGTGGATAAAGACAAAATTTTTGTTCGCCATTTTCAGTAATCCATTCGCAGGGAACCAAATCTATGACTTTTCGTCTATCATTTGTAAAATCATCCTTAAACCATACAATGGCATGCGTATGTTGACTCATGCTACAAATGAAGATTATTATAGAGAGAGAGAGAGTAGAGTTATATATCTAAATTAAATCATTAAATTTAAATTGATAAGAGAATGTTTTTTTATTTTTAATCAGTAATAACAGACCGTATAATACTTACATGATATACGTCGATATCAAAAGATGATGATAACTGATAACTAATAATCAATCAAGCAGTGCGGTGATGTTGCGATAAAGTTTCTTTCAAAATAAAATCCGGAAAATATATTATTTATTATATGTAACTATGATACTGACTGTATCGTGCGAAACAATTGAATATGCGTGGTTGTACATACGTTATATTCATAGCATTGAGCTGTTATCGCGGCTGTATGCAATCAAGATTAATAGAAATAAAAAAATATGTCTAAACGTTCAAGTGTTGACCGTGTCCGGAAATATCGGGCATTAAAGAGAATGCGAAATATTTTGTCCGAAAGTGACAATGAACCCGAAGAAATACGTATGTATATAATTAATGTACATTACTCGTAAAAGAGAGGTATATTAAGCTATCTAAATCAAATTATCAAAACACAATAAATTATATATGGAATTAATTTGCTAATTTTTTGCTGTAAAAAATTTTTAATACTTAAAAAAATTAATAATACTATTAAATTATATTAATATATTAATAATTAATAAATTAATTAATACATTAATAAATTAATAATTAATAAATTATATTAATATATTAATAATACTTTTAAAAAAATTAATAATACTAAAATTTTTTGCTATTTATTTGCTACTATTTACTGCTTAAAATATTTTTTTTGCTCCAGCTTTTAAGAAAATACCAATAATAAAACGCGCGACGCTCAAGAGTAAAGTGCATTAAAAAATTAGTTGCTCGCATTATTATAGCATCAGAATATTCCCTGAATTATTTGCTGTCAAGATATCCAAGTCCTGAATTTTTTGTTCGCAAAATAAATTTGAAAATTTATGTTTTATTCATTATACAAGTAAAACATTAATTTTTTAAACTTATTTCGCCAGCAAAAAATTCGGAATTTTGATATCTTGAGAGCAAATAATTCAGGAAATATTCTGATGCTATAATAATGCGAGCAACTAATTTTTTAATGCACTTTACTCTTGAGCGCCGCGTTTTGTTATTGGTATTTTCTTAAATAATATATAATTATAATTTATTGTGTTTTGATGATTTGGCTTAGATAGTTTAATATACCTGCAAAGGAGTTACAGAGAAAAAATTGCAAAAAATTGCATTTTAAAATGCATTTTATTTCATGTTTCACAGAACATAATGATAATGTACAACAAGCTTTAGAACGATCTGAACAATATAATGTTGACGTATCTTCAAGCTGTGCTCTATCCAACGACAACTTCCAACAAACTTCCAGTGACAGCATTTTTGATGCTTCAAGAGAGATAGAAGATTTGTCAAATTCAAGTTCAAATTCAAATAATGAAGATGCACCGTTGATTTTATTTGAAGATTCACGTAATGAATTATTACAAGGAAACATTAATACAAAAATTAGTACGTGGGCCCTTCGAAATGTGACATCATTAACACATAAATGCATAGACGAACTATTACTAATATTGAGAAATGAAGGTCATTTAAGTCTTCCTAAAAGTAGTAAAACTTTATTAGGGACCAACGCAGCAAAAACTAATATTCGTCCAATGTTGAATAGTAACGGAAAATACGGAGAATTCATTTATTTTAATATTAAAGATACCCTTGAAAAAATTATATCTCCCGAAATTTATACCGAGAAAGAGATATTATTAATGATAAACATTGATGGTGCATCCATTCACCAAAATTCGAAAAAACATATTTGGACTGTATTAGGTTTAGTATACCACCGCGAATATGAGGCTAAACCATTTCTTATTGGTTTGCATTATGGTGAGTCAAAACCATTTTCAGTTAATGAGTTTTTAGACGATTTTGTTGGCGAAGTAAATAATTTAATTATAAATGGTGTAAATATCGGGAACTCTCATTACAATTTCAACATTAAAGCTTTTGTGTGCGATACACCTGCGCGTGCGTTTATTAAACGTTGTAAAGGACACGGTGGTTTTTTTGCGTGCGAACGCTGCGAGATAAAAGGAAAGACAGTGCAAGGAAAAAGAGTGTATAAGGGCATACATTATATAGAACGTACGGACGAATCTTTTAGAAATAAGCAACAATTGAAGAATCATTCCACCAAAGAAGTGTCACCATTACTAAACATTATAGGATTAGATATTGTTAAATCAGTTGTACTAGATTCTATGCATCTACTTTGTTTAGGAGTCTCAAAATATTTGTTGCAGGAATTTCTTCATGGTGATCGGCATCATAGAATTGATTTACGTAACGTCACACTTTTGCAAAATTTATTAAATTCCATTTCACGCGATATCCCAATGGAATTTCAAAGAAAAAAATTTGATCTTCTTGATATTGGCAATTGGAAAGCGACTCAATTTAGATTTTTTTTATTGTACTGTAGTGGCTTATTTCTTCGTTCTATATTACCACACGATACCTATCGACATTTTATGCTGCTTTATGCATCATGTCGTATTTTATCAAGTGAAAGATTGGCTTTACAATGTGCTCAATATGCTAAAATTTTGTTACGAAAGTTTGTTAAGTTAATGCCAACTTATTATAATGAAAATTTGCTAACAATTACTATTCACAATTTGATTCATATTGCAGATGACGTCATGCATATGAAAGATCCTTTATTTAAATTTTCGGCATTTACTTTCGAGGATTATATTGGATTCTTAAAAAAACTTATTAGAAATACGCCACATATTATTCCGCAAATAACAAGACGTTTACATGAAATACAAGAAGGACACGACCCATTCATAAAATACCATTATCCATTTTTCTATACTGTTAAAAAACGTACAGATGTGCCGATAGGATATCGTGTGGAAACAACTAGTGATAAAATAATATTGTCTAGTGTTAAAATAAAAAATTTTACATTTACAACTTCTCACCCTAATAATGTCGCAATTATGAAGAATGATGATATTATAATAATAAATAGTATTTTCATCCAATTGATTAATAATATTTCTGTCGGTTCTCCGATAATCGAAGGAAAACAATTAGTATTTTATCGTGACATATTTGATTATCCTATGCCATCACACAAAGTTGGTATAATGTACGTTCGTAAAACTAGTAGCATTAAAAAACAATATTGTGTCAAAGATATTTCAATGAAATGCATTTACACACGACTAAATAACAAGAAAGTAATTATAACATTACTTTATTTATAAAGTAATATTATGTAAAATAAATATTATGTACAATCTAATACTATAACAACATTCTATTAATTATATTAATGATTATTATATAATATAAATATAAAAATAATTTGTTCATCGGTCAATGCGCAGCGACGGAATTGTTGCTCACATGTTGATCTGTGACATACAAAAATTAATATATATGTAAATTATAGCAGCGTTCGAAATACAATTAAATGTTTCAAAAATAATTATTGTATGTATTGAATTTTTTATTTATTTTTCGGATATTTGATTAAAGACTTATACAATTAAAGGGAAGAAAATAGGCGTTAGAGCCAAATGATAAAATGTGGTGATACGATTGCCGAAAAAATTGAATTATAATATGTGAATATTTGAAGTATTTTTTAATATCAATATTTGATATAATTATGTAAGTATCAAATATATGTTAAAGATATATATTTGCGTCGCGGTGAAAAACAACATATTTCGCAATAACGAATAACGAGTAAATGATAGATTACCCACCTTCAAATTGCTCAGCTGATGCTCGACGTCCCCCGGGCCTTCTCTTCCTCTCAGTACATCGGCGGCTGTTTGTGACCACACACAATGACACATTAAAAAACACGTCGTTGTTGATTTGCTTAGCAAAGCGCTTGGAGACACTGGACCAATACTGGACCAATGCTGGGCCTGTGTCGCCAGAACTTGGCCTAATTTGCAGCCTATGCTGGCCCACGTCTGTATTTTATAATGGCTCGTCGTACAGCTCAGCTTTTAATCAGTACTGGCACAAAATTGTCTGCCGACCTTGGCTGCCGATACTGAACCAATGCTGGGCCTGTGTCGCAGCCAGAGCTTGGCCTATTTTGCAGCCTGTGTTGGCCCACGTCTAGATTTTATAATGGCCCATCGTACGGCCCGGTTTTTAATCAGTACTGGCACAAGATTGTCTGCCGACCTTGGCTGCCGATACTGAACCAATGCTGGGCCTGTGTCGCAGCCAGAGCTTGGCCTATTTTGCAGCCTGTGTTGGCCCACGTCTAGATTTTATAATGGCCCATCGTACGGCCCGGTTTTTAATCAGTACTGGCACAAGATTGTCTGCCGACCTTGGCTGCCGATACTGAACCAATGCTGGGCCTGTGTCGCAGCCAGAGCTTGGCCTATTTTGCAGCCTGTGTTGGCCCACGTCTGGATTTTATAATGGCCCGTCGTATGGCCTGGCTTTTAACCAGTATTGGCACAAGATTGCCTGCCGACTCTTGGTTGTCGATGCTGGACCAGTGCTGGGCCAGTTAAACAACGTCGGCAATTTCTACGTGGGAGTTGCATAAACACAAAATGTAATCGGCACATCTCTCACAAACAATTTTTAATTTCTCAGGGGAAATATACAAACTAAGTAGCACTTTCTGAAATGCATCTCCAAAGTTTACTCGTTCTAGAGGTCGAAAATTATGCGCGTCTAACAGAGCTTTTTGCAGCATCTGAATTTCAAACGAACGTAACACTCCAGGCTTACTAGTTTCGGCAATTGTTTCAGATTTCAAAACTCGAGCACAGAGGGAGAAGAAAAGAACACGAAGATCTGAGTACACTTTCGTAACGTCAGCATTTGTTTGCTCAAATGCGAGGTTAACCGAATGCACTTTGCGTAGAATTGATTTCAAGAAGGTCACATACAATAGGTTGCTTGGATCTTCAAGAATCTCCGCAAGAGTTAAAGCCTTATATAATCATTTTCAGAAGCTTTCATCCTAAAGAACTTTTGCAATTCTGTCCACTGATCGAGAATTTCAGATGCAACTGGGAGCCACGACATCCAGCGAGTGTCGCAGAGTTTTTGCAGTTTTCCAGGAGCTTTCCTCTTGTTCATAATCAGAAATCAGACAACATATGTTAAAAACAGCACAAGCAAAATTTCTAAATACGACACATGTTCTTAAAATAATTTTACCTTGTAATAATGCTTGTATTCACTCTGTCTGAGAGCACTATGAGCAAACCAATTATATGTCTTTCTTAATAAATAGTTCAGGTGATCAGGCATGTTGCGAAAAGCATATTGGGCACATTTGTCCAGAGAATGGCATATAAATTTTATCAATTGCAAGCCTGGCACTTTCTTTGTTACATGAGTATAAAAGGAATTTTTTAATCCGCACATGTTTGAAGCGCCATCTGTGCCAATTGGAAAGATATTTTTTGAGGGAAGGCCAATTTTATGAAAATATTCTAAAAGTGTCTCTGCTAAAACTTTACCAGTGCATTTTGTGATTTCAATTATTCCCAAAAATCCGTTACTATTGATTCTTCTTTCTGATTGTAAAAACGGATGCAAAGACCCTGAAACTTCGAAACAGATACATCCGTCGATTCATCCACTATAAGGGAGAACGGAGAATCCCCAACGTGCTGAACTAGTTCATTCAATAATGCTGGAGATACTACAGTTGAAATGAGCTTGGAGCACTTTGTTCTATGTAGACGGATCTGTTCTAATTTACTCCCTTTCCCCAAGATCTTTAAAAGATCTCCGAGATTATCCACAGCTTTAATTGGTGTATGCATAGTTATGTATATAGCAAGCCGCAAATCTATAATTTTATTATCGTTGGTTATTTTTGCATCTGTATATCCTGTATGCAATAGAAATAGCCGGCGAGAACGTTAAATTAAGCAGAGTAAATAATTGACGAATTATACTTATACAATAGATTATACGCAGCATGCTGCTGCATCGAAGACTGTGCTCTTCTGTCTAAGGCTTGTTCTTTACCGCGATGTTTTTCAGATTTTTTATAAACGATAAGATCGTTATGATGTGCACGCAAATGGCATTTGCATAATTTACAATATGCTTCCAATTTGCCATTTAATATATCATCCTCACTGGTTTCTTTAAGGCGTTATATCTACCAAAAATCATTTAAAAAAGATTCTTTTTTGTGACTACATTTTTAAATTATTTTATATAAGGAATGTAGCAATCGATTAAGCAACTTTTCAGGAGTAAGAAAAATTTTATTATTGTCATTTTTTTACAAAATAGCGGCGGTAGGATCGCATAAGAAATACAGGAGGTCCTCCGCGGCGAGCAGTAGAAGTCCCCTAGATCACTATCTGGAATAAAAAAATTTTTTTTACTAACTACATAAGTATAGCTAGTGAAGTACACACGATCATAATTTCAGAATTTTTTTCGCAAAATGGCAAGACTTAGAAAAAAAAATCGAATTTTCGACGAAAAAACGCAACTTAAAGTTATTTAAAAAAATTCTCTTCACCAATCGTTAAAATCATGTGTACTTCACTAGATAATCAAATGAAGTAATTACAAGTAAATTTTCAAGTCGATCGGATGAAAACTCTTCGAGTTCTACTGCTCGCCGATTTGAAAAATGTGATTTGAAGAAAAACGCGTTTTAAGTTTGAGAACTCTGTAACTTTTCGAAATTATGAAAATATGGCCTGTAAAAATTTTTGTACCTTTACTCTGCTATCCCAGCACCATACAATTGCTCTTCCAAGGTCATATTTTGCTCCTCCACCGTTTAAACTCGTTGACTATAAGGTTTACACATTGATTAGTAGGTTTACACACATTAATTAATTGATTAATAGGTTCACACATATTGATTATATTTCGCATTTATTCATATCGTGAGGATGCCATTACATGAAGCGCGAAAACGCGGAATAGAATAGTAACTAGATTCCCGCGTTCCGTTCCGTCTGTTTTGATTACCTTATATGACATGGAGCTGATTTTGAGCGGAAAAGCGGAACGGAAAATTATAAAATATTAATTAAGAGTTTAACAAGGCTCTGTAATATAAATATATTCCCAATGGAGAATGTATGGAATTAAATCTCTTATAGAGATTATTCCAATTTTAAATCTTGACCGTGACCAAGTAAAATTTGGTGCCTTGTGCACAGGTTTTTAATTCTAACGAAAAAATTTAGTTTCGCGCGCGCGCGCGTTGGGATAACGCACTATCATCCGCGATTTGGCTCTTATTGCCTGTTTGACACTTTAAAATTTATATTTATATTACAGAGCCTTGTTAAACTCTTAATTTATACACACTGGCTTAAAGGCGTTTGTTTATCAACATTATTATGTATATAGCAGAGAAAAGTATAGAATCGAAAGGATCTGAATAGCTCAGTTGGAAGAGCAATCGCTCGACAAGCGAAAGGTCTCGGGTTCGATTCCCGATTCAGCGACTTTCGGATCTATATCTTGTGGATTTTCTCTTGCATTTATTTCCTTGGGGGAGAACAGGGGATGTTTGGAATTAAATCTCTTGTAGAGATTATTTTAATTTTAAATCTTGGCCGTGACCAAGTAAAATTTGGTGCCTTGTGCACAGGTTTTTAATTCTAATGAAAAAATTTAGTTTTGTGTGTGTGTGTGTGTGTGTGTGTGTGTTGGGATAACGCACTGTCATCCGCGATTTGGCTCTTATTGCCTGTTTGATACTTTAAAATTTATATAAAATATTAATTTTTAACGATATTTATCAATTAAAATGCTTGTAACTAATAAATAAGCTGAAAAAATAAACATATTAATAAAAATTACAATATATCAAATGAAAACAATTTTAAGAAATGAATAAAAATGTATATTTGTCACCATAACGTTCCGCTTTTCCGTGCAAATAGTGCTCCATGTAATATAAGGCAATCAAAACAGACGGAATGAGCGCGTCAAATCAGTGTCAATGTGGACACAGTATTCTATCAAATTTCGGAGTCGATTGAAGAAGAAAGTTTTTATATATTTCGATTGTTTTATTATTTTAAAAGTGACAATATAATATCAAGTACAATATGGATTCAAACATCATGTTGATGATTATTATGAAGTATCTTATACAAGCACGGGATGAACCAATAAGATATGCAAAGATAACTATGAAAAAAGCTCTTTCATGTTGCACACAGACAGTTTGATGTCTCTTTCCTTTAACATAAATAAATAAACAACTAAAATTATTGCGAAATGACTCAATTAATTGTTCTGACATA